CAAAGTACTTATTCCTCATATTTGCCTCAGTTAAGACATGAAAATGTATAAATATTTCAGTACTGAATTTAAATGCCAATGTTATGTAACTTAAAGCACTGAAATGAAAATGATTGTCTCTGGTGTTCAGAGGGACAAAACTTTATTTCATCTGAGTATTAAGGTTTATGTATACGTGTCTAATTACATGTGTGTATATATGTATGCACGTAATTATTTGATTTATCATACTTAAGTTATCTCCACTTAGCTACACATGCACACACACGCTCCTCTATGTATTTTAGCTTTTCACGGAGTAGTTTGTTTTCCTTATTGCCATTTCAGTACAATTACAAATAATCTCTGATTTTTTGAGTTAAATAAAAAGTAGAAGTCATGTATGCTGTTTGTCATGAAGTCATTTATAGTAATGGAGACAGAGAAATACCATGGTAGTGAGAGTATAAATAGAGGAACTCAGAAGACATGAAGAAGACAAGTATAAACTCATAAATATTCTGAAAGTCTTAGATGTTAGATGCTTCTGATCTTCGCTTGGTCGAGAATGATCTTGATTGATCCAACCTTTGCAGTCAGATTTGGCTAATCCTCATGGCCTCATGTTGGGTTCCTGGGACAGGGAGAAGCCATATCCACAGCCTCCATAGCCAAAGCCATGGTCCAGTCTGCGGAAGCTCCCACAGCCACAGCCATAACCACTGCCCAGGCCACTGAAGCCTCCACAGCCGTAGCCCAGGCCTCCATAGTAGCTCCTGCAGTAGCTCATGGTGTTAGGAGTGGTGAGTTTGGTTTGCTGTTCAAGAAAGATCTTGAGTGTGAATGTCTGTGTGTGTACAGGGATGCTTATATACTCTTGTCAGAGCTAGTGACAAAACACGTCTATACCCTCCCTTTCTGTCGTTGTATGAATTACATTTAATGCTATAACTCATTAATCTATTGTTTCCCTCCTGACATAGGGAGAGGACCTCATTCTCACTGAAATATTTCAGCACACTTAACTTCCTATTCAGAATGTCCTTGAACTTATTGCATTGCTTTTGTGAGAATAAATACTTGAGTCTTTAACTTCTGTGCGTTCCAAACCTTAAAGAGAATTGTTCATTACCAGGTAGGTTGTATCATTTATATTTGATGAGATTTCTTTTTTATCACTAAATGTTTCTTCTGTTGTTGCATCGCCAACTAAATTCACAAATAAGTGTTCAATGGAAAGATTTTAAATCTATAATATTCTTCAAAAATCAAACTTATTTCTTAGGGTGAGAATCTAAGAAAGTGTCTCTACGGAGAAGATATAAAAATATTTGAAATAAAAAAGGTTTTGATTGCCTGCTGTATATGATAGACAATGGACTAAAAAAGATTACTTGTGGATTTTTAGCACTTTAATAATACAAACCTTATATTATTTGTGGTTTTATGCAGAAGTTTAAGAACCTTTTGGTTGGAAAACATGGACCACTTGGCTTCAGAAATTGAGGGCACAGAATCCA